CTCTTCAAATAACTTTCTTAACTTTTCTCTTCACTTTATAGCTTAAAAGTATTTAAGTGTGTGTATTTGTATATATCGCTTCAATAGATATCCAACCAAAAGTAATATATATTTTGCATTTAACTTTTGCTTTCTGAATCCATTCATTCTTTTATTCATATTTGTACATCTATTGTCCTTCTGAATTCACTCAAACACCCACTCGTCCATTCATTAATGCATTTAAATGCATCTATCCATCCATGCACTTATTCTTCCTTAAAAACTTTTTCAGTCATTCACAATACAAATCTAATAAGAAGTATCATTCTGCTCAATATTTTTACCACCATCGCATTTGCGCTCAACAATTGCTTCTGATTATATCCTTCACCTAAGCAGTTACTTCCTGTTACTCCAACTAATACTATCACTACAGATATTATTTGCTTACTTTCTGTCTAATCTTAGAGTAAATCTTTCACAAATTTTACGCAATTTAAGTATTATTTTCATAATTCTCATAAAGTATAAAGTAGTTACCTTCAGTTTTCTCACCTCTAACAGCAATAGTAATAATAATAATAATAATATTATTATTCTTATTATTAACATTATTATTAACCTTATTATTATCTTAGTTTCTTGTTTGTTTACTCATTTATTAATTTTGTTGATATATTTTTGAGCTGAAAATAATTGCAAAAAAGTTTTTGTCTTTTAATATTTTGTGCTCATTCAGAGCTTCTTTACTCTGTGTGTTAGTCTAATCTAAGAATTGCTTTTTTTGGATTCAAAATAACTTTCTGCAGGAGTCATTTTGCCTCTGCAAAATTATTCTGCTTTCTTGCAGAAAGAAAATCATTAACTCAAAGTAATTACCTCTCATAAATATTATTCTAATTTGATGAAAGATGCCAGTAAAGCACACAGAATAACTGCTCAAGCCATTTACTATCTCAAACTAGCACTCAAATTTATTTCATTTCGATGAACTCGAAATTTCCATATTCAAATTTTCGTACTTTGCACTTTCCTTCTGTTTTCACTTCATATCACTTTTCAATTTCAAAATTTACTTAATTAAATCTTAAATGAATTAATGCAATTTTCTCATCTTAAAGTTGATCGAACAATTATTTGCTACTTCAATGCAAAGTTTGAACTGAAAATTGTCCAATTGAAAGTGAAGAATGAATTGTTTTCGTTAGCACAAAACTTACTGTGTTGCTATTATCATTTTATCAGTCATAATTGTTATGACTATTATTTTTGTTATAGTGTAATGGTTACTACGATTATATTATCATTATTAACTATCATAATATATTATAATCATCATTATATACTTGATTGTTGTATTACAATGTAATAATAATAATGATGTGTTGTTGTTTTGGCTTGTTTATTTCTGTATTTCTGTTCACTCTCATTTTTATTTAATACTTGAGAAGGATAGAATACTGTGCTTCAACTTCATCTATGCTTTTTTGCTTCAAATCTCATTTTTTGGATGTTAGATTCTTATTTTTTTCATAATAAACAGTGACTTCTGTATGAGACTTTCACATTTTTGAGCATTTTATGAATTTGTCACTAAATTATTTTCAACACACTTATTCTCTCATATTATACAATCTATTTCACTCCTACCATATAAACTTTTTGTTATTGATGGTTTCAATGCATTTTTGTTTTCATTTTTAATTAATGAATTTTATTAAATGACATTTTGACTTTTAACTCCTAAACAAAATTGATATGCATGACTGTACAAGTACTAAAAAGTTTAATATGCAAATTTTTCAACTCAAAAATTTTTGCATAGAATTTGTAATCTTGCACTGATTTGAGTTAAGTTTATTTGAGACTAAAAAGTTTACTTGCATTTTCTGGCAAACATTTCGGAATCGCTCAACTGATTATTCTTACTATGCATAAATTTTGAAGTTCCAAGTTTTCTCACTGAGATAAACGATTCGTGATAGACAAAGCATATGCCTGCTTTTATTTGCTTTGTACATTGATAAACTCCTCACAGACATTGTTAGCAAGTTAAAAGATATCTCAATCTCATTATAATACAACATAGTGAGTTTAAAAATAATCAATAAATAAGTATATATATATACTTATTTATTGACTATTTTTTAAGTATATATATACTTATTTATTTATTTGTTTATTTATATTTATTTAAATTTCAACGCCAGATTATTTTTGCAAACAACCTCTATTTATGTGCCTGCTCATTTCTTTCATTTTTTTATGTATTTGTTATGTTCTTTGCTTAAAAGTTCATTAGTTACTTCAGACAAATTTGGCTGTATTCAAAAATTATTAATAATTATCAAAATTCATATTACGTATAATTTACTTTGATTCACTAGTGTCTTGATTTTTAATGACATTTGACCTTTGAGATTGGTTTAAATAATTAATTTTTTGGTTGTTTTATTGTTGACAGTGCAGAAATGCGAAATTTACTCTCTCTTATAGTCATAAAAATAATAATTAAGCTTTTCGGTAATGAAAGAATGTAACTTGTAATTATAGGAATCAAGTAGAAATGAGATAATAGATGTAAGATATGCTTTTATCTCTTCAGGCTTTCAGAAGATGATTGCAAGCTTAACTTTAAGTGATAATTTTCGATTGATTAGATCACTGAACAATCTAATGAAGCATTAAATGTCTATCAGATGTGCACTGCACATTCTTCTTGCAGACAATTTATTTGATGCTAAGAATTCATAAATTTAGAGGTAGTTGATGCTTTAACTCATTACAGTTTAATGGCTTACTTTTCTTCGCTTTATCCTTCATGAATTAATCGCTAATTGTTTTTTTTCCAAAGACTGATCAAACCGATAACATGTCTTATTTGCTTTATACATTGGAAATATGCACCCTTGCTGAGATAATAGTTAATTTGATTTTAAACAAAAGTTATCAATAGATACAACTGGTATGCAAATTTTCATCATTTTGCAGTTTTTTGCTGCATGCAATAAAACCGTATTGAAAACTGTTTGTTTTTAGTCTGATAGCATTATAAATAGTTATAAATTTGAAGGTAATACTTGACAGAGAATCGAAAAATGAGGCGCAGCACGCTGTTAACGTGGAGATGAACGGTGGAAGATTTGACTTTGATGACGGGGGTACGTATTGCGGAGGTTGGGAAGAAGGCAAAGCTCATGGTCACGGAATCTGTACTGGGCCTCAGGGCAAAGGCGAGTATGCTGGTGCTTGGCATTACGGTTTTGAGGTCACTTTTTCATTTAGTCTCATGAAAATAAAAGTAAATATTCTGAACAGTATTTAAAAATATTCTACGTAAATATTTCTAATTATTAATTTATGTGATCAGTCTTAATGTATTCACTTTTGAAGAGCTTGTACAGTAAAAACTTCAGTGTTTAAAACAATCTAAGCAATTAATAATTAAATTTAAAAACAACGGCAAAAAGTAAGGCATGATTACTATTTAATATTTAGATTTCTGATTTCAATTTTGTTTTTGTTGGACTCAAAGTCTGCAAATGACAAGTATTGGTTCAGGTCTCGGGGGTGTATACTTGGCCATCAGGAAATACCTACCAAGGTCAGTGGCAAAATGGAAAACGTCACGGATTAGGAGTCGAACAACGTGGTCGTTGGATATTCAAGGGCGAATGGACTCAGGGTTATAAAGGTAGATATGGTCACCGTCAATCGATGACTTCACAAGCCAGGTACCAGGGAACCTGGTCTTCTGGTTTTCACGATGGATATGGCACCGAGATATATGTTGATGGAGGTTGACAACTTTCCATATATTAATTTCGTACTAATCTGTATGTTTACTGTTTAATAATTCCTCATACTACTACTATTCGATTTGAAGAATTAATGGTCATGACAAAAAAAACAGTAAGTAACGATAGATTAATCATTGACGATGGATTAATCAGTAATTTTCAGGTGCTTATCAAGGACAATGGTTACGTGGTATGCGGCATGGATACGGTATCCGGAAGAGTGCTCAACACGGTGTGGCTGCTAAATTTCGATCTCGGTCACGCACCAATGCATCTCTTACTTCACTAAGGTCCGAATACGGTGAAAGTGAGGAAAATGAAAAAAAAAATTATGGTAAATCTACGGTATCGTACAGTATATTTGATAATCAAAATAAATATTTAAAAGCTTTAAAATCAAAATGAATTAGCATTCTGTAAGTAGTAAGCATTGTGCCTATTTTTTTCAATTATTTCCACTTCAAGCTGATCTATTTGCAGTGCTTTCTTCTTTACAGAACGTGTGATAAATTATTAAAACAAATTAATGATTTAGACTAAATTAGTAATTTTTGAAAATTAGAAACAGTTTTGAGTTTCAAAAATCTGTTTGTATGTGTGTGTGTGCATTTGACTGAGTAATTTATTATTCGAAAAGAATTGAGTGCTTATTTTGCATGAAGAAAATGGCTTAGGTAAAGGAGAAGGAGTGGATTTATGGTAGTTCAGCTTAGTTCCAGCAATTTGCTTAGTTTAAAGAAATTTTAGGAGCAATTTTTTGATCCTTCCAAAGAGATTTCAGAAATGACACAATCAAATAACTTTAAGTAAAAATCCCTCCAAAAAAGTATGCAACAAATGTCTGAAAACATAGTCCCAAATGAAGGAAGAATATGTTTGTGAGAATTAAGTTGACGTCAATTATTCTTCACAAAAATTTGAATTTTTTTTGTATGAAGAAGGAATTACTATAATTTGTAGAACGTATTCGAGTATGCATTTAGATATGCTAATTTTGTTGTTACAGAAATAAATTGTAGTAAATAAATGAAGAAATGTTGTTATGAAGTCAAAAATATGAATACTTTTTTTCGTGAGAAAAAGGTAAAAATATTTGCATATTTAGCTTAAATATCTCTTTATTTATATTTCATCGTACCAAAGGCGTTGACAGATAACGACTGAAGAGTGCTTGAGAAATGAAATTACTGAGCAATAATCAAGATATTTTCAAATTGTGATTATAATTATATTAAATACTTACTATTTTAATTTGCACCATAAATGTAAATTAAATGAATAAAATAATAAAAAATTTAGGTAATTATAATCATAGTTTGAAGACATTAGTGTTGATGAATTATTCTTTGACAAGTCTGTTGTCATAAGTAGCTTTAGATTTAATTTGAGTTAGGAACAAGTAGCATCACAGTGTAATCAAAATATTTAGGGAGAAAAAGGTTTGAAGCAAAATTTGAAAAAAATCTTCAGAAGAAACAGATGAAAGCCGCGGTGGTTTTGTGTTGAAAGCTTGCAGTGATGCGCCCACTAGAAGAAGATCACTTTCTGAGAGGTCATCTGTTGTTAAACGAACCTTCTTGAGTGGTTTGAGAATCAAAAAGCAACACTCTACAGGAGACATCCACCAGCGGGCTACTTCTGGTTAGTTATGATTCTCATCTAATGTTATTCTAGTCTATTTGAAAGTCAGCAGTGTTGTACTGCTGAAATTATGGTTACTAGTAATCTTGACTGGTACGTAAGTTATCGATTTGTATTTATTTATAAGATTTAAAATGTTGATTAATTTGCCGGATATTTGAAGGTTGCACAAAATATTTTATGCTACTTCGATTTGAGCCAAAAATGCAAATAACTTAAATTAAGTAATGATGAATTAACATAATCATAATTTGTTGCAATAAACAGAAATTGCAACTTGTAATTGCTTTTTAAGTTGCAAAATGCAAATTATGTTATTCAGTTCTTTGCTGTTGGTCAAATTCTTTTGGAGATATTAATAATACATAAATTGTATGCTAAAATGGAACAGACTGTAAGATTGCAGGAAGTTTGAGATCAAGTGGTAGTACTGTGAGCTGTACATCGGATGAATCGGAGCATCGGCAAGGACGCGAACAACTTATCATATCACAGGTGATATATACAGCTCAAGTCAACTTTATGATATCAAAACTAAATATAGCATTTGAATTTATTTTATTTTTCTTAATTTTCAATATACTGGGCAGTGTGTATCTTTCAAGTTCTCATTTTAGTATTCTCGTTTTCTTCTCTCAGCTGTTCATGCTAATCTGAAATTAAATAGACTAATTTTAACTTTATTATTGTTATTTTCGATCAAGGTAATAGCAGAAATAAATATTATTGATATTATTTAAATATTATGAACAAAATAACAATGTGTTAGCTATTGGTGTTTTATAAATGTGTTCTTTATTGCTGAGATGAGCAGCGTAGTATATTTTGTAAGAACAATACAAAAAATGCTTCAGGAAGAACACATTGATCCCAGTGCAACGGAAGTTTACAAAGGTGAGTGGAAAAACGATAAACGATGTGGTTTTGGCGTAGGAGAACGTAGTGATGGCTTGAAGTACGAAGGAGAATGGTTTAACAATCGCAAGTGTGGCTATGGAATAACAACTTTTAAGGATGGCAGGTAAGCTGTGATTGTTTTTATTGACGAGTGCTGATATTCATTTTTTTATATAAAAACTATTCAAGATATCTTACTTTATTTTGACAAATTCTTCTTTCTGTTATTAAAATGACCAAAAGTAAATGATCAGGCCTCACTTTTTAATCAAAATGCATTGAAAATCTATGAAAAATTTGCAAAATACCCACGCAATATGAATACAGAAAATGATTCTTACACGTAATATTTTGCATAGAATAATCTGTAGTACTAAAATTTAGCAGTTAAATAATCAAGCTGCTTTGCTCTCACCAATTAGTGTTTAAAATAATTTGAATCGGTGTATGGTCAAAATCCATTGTATAAGTTATTACATTGTTGATGTCATCAAACAATAAAATAAACTTTCCACAACCTTTAGGATAAGCATTCAGAAAAAATTGTTACTATTTTTGAGTCAAGAAGGAGATGTATAAGTATTAAGCAGTTGATAGTTTCAGAACTTTGTGATAAGTGGAAAATTATAAGCGAATATTAGTGAAAATAATTATCACAAGCATTTCTTCTCCACTATGACTTATAATTTCAGGAAAATGATAACAAAATCTCTCAGTTTTGAAGTGATATAATTGATAGTTACTATTCGTAAATTATCCTTTATTTTATTTCTTTGAAATGATGTACTTATTATGAGGTTCTGAAATTAAACTTACTTGGCAGAAAGATTTTTGTGATTAGAAAGACAAGACTTCTATGGTGATGTTTAGTTACTGCACTTTGGGTCATGCTGACTGGTATGTATGACTACTCTAAATTGTGGTTAAGCACCAGCAAATTATTTATCATGGGGATCTGTGTACAGATGATTTTAGAAAAGTTTGTAAAAGGTCAGAAAATAGAAAAGAGCAGTTGTGATTATCATCTGTATGTGTATGCGTTGATATATTAATAATTATTATATCGACACATATATGATATATTAGAAAAATATTCTGAATATCAAAACTATCGGAAATGTATTTTGAATGGAATAAAATAATTGGCAGAAGAGAAGAAGGCAAGTATAAGAACAATGTGCTCATTTGTTCGAATCGCAAAAAGGGTTTGTTATTCGTGCGATCATCAAGACTTAAAGAACGAGTTGGAAATGCTGTTGAAGCAGCGAATCGAGCTGCTACCATTGCTCAGCAGAAAGTTTGTTTTCATAACTGACCTAATTTTATAAGTTATAACTCATTCAATTTGTTTTATTAACTTCAGTGCTACGAAATTTTACATTACAATTGCGATAATTGCAAACTTATTTATGGTGACAGAGACGCTCTGCGAAATGTTGTTGTTTATTTGAGCATCTTATTGAATAATTTTCAAATAGTAAAAAATATAGAAATTCAGATTTAAAAGAAGATTTGAACATTAATTTCGAATGCGCAATTGTTATTGAACATGAAGTTGGAAGGATTGTTTTTGGTGAAAGCTAGAAATAAATTGATTACTGTTACTACTTAAAAAATCATAGTATACTCAATTACAGTAAACAAACGGCTGTACATCCTGAAAAGTATTACAGCAAAAAGAAAGCTAATTTGAAATAGGACTAATCTGATCTACTGTTTGCATTGATATTTTTGAAGATATTGCCAAATTTTTTGAGATTAGTATTTAGGACAAAAATGCATCTTCTGTTCGTAATACGTTAACACTGCTATCTTCGATAGGAATTTATCGATAGATAGTGTAAACTTTAATCTTGACAAGTTTTAAGATTAAATGTGATCAATGAATGACAATAGTTTGTCGAGAACTGTTGAGAAATTGCAGGCAGATATAGCAGTGTCAAGAACAGCAACAGCTAAGGAACGCTCGGAGCAAGCGGATTATGTGGCTTTGCAAGCTCGTGAAGATGCTGACATTGCAGGGATGTATGCTAAGCAGTTCTCACCTGAATTCCGACAATCATCTCAAGATGGAGCTCTTCGGGTAATGAAAAGTAATCGCTTGCAACACCATCAACAACAGCATCTACATAGCAACACAAATCATGTATCCTTCGATTCGCCACCAGCTTCCAAGAGTTCTCATGAATCTCGAGATCTCTCAGATGAACTGGTCGTTCTGAACTCTCCTTCCTTGCCAGGTACTGCTCCAGTAGAAACCAATTACGCGGGTGTATCTTTTTTCCAACAACCATCAAATCCTGGTGAACATCAGCATTTTCCAGTAATTAATCCAGGTTCGTCACCCGAACAAGCGATGTCACTATTAGTTGGTAACAACTCAGGTACTGCTGCTTACACCACCACTACCAGCACCAGCAACACCTCTTATCAACAACAGCAAAGTGTAAACTCTGCTGGTTATACGGGTCCAACTTCTTACCAGGTGCTACCATCATCATCTTACAATCAAGTACCACTAGCTACCGCTGCTACTGCTGCTTACTCTTCGGGTACACCTTTACCGGTAGTTCAAATGTCTCCTCCATACATCTCCTCCTCCTCATCGTATCTTTCGAATGCTGTGCCTCCTCATTTCAATCCTAATCAGTTATCTTCACAACAGTATCACCATCACAAGCACCAACTCCATCTTCCTCCTTCAAATTATGCTAATCCCGCATTATTATCTGATCATCACACGCTTAACTTCCATTCCGAGCAGACACCTTTCGAGCAATCTGTCTATAATATGAGTAATGTTACGAACTATAACGCTACTGCGACCACCACCGCTACTACTGCTACTACTGCTACTACTATAACTACTACAAGCAGCGATGACTTACAACAACGTCGTATCATTAATGGCGCCTCTAATCCACGTGTGATGCAAACTATTAGACCACCTTCAAAATCTTTTCTACAGGTATATACGTTGCACTCAACAATATGGATAGTTGTCGTGGTTACATATTTATTGAAACCATTAACAAATGAGCAAACAATCAGTTGATTATGTATATATAATCATTGTTATGTGATATAGATAGTAGTGAGACATACATAGTGCGTGTACAATCATATTAATCTGAGATTAACAATTTAGGAGCAGATTGAAAGTCTATTTTACTTCAAATATATACGTATGATAGTGACTTATTTTTGGAAATGTATCTACAATAGTTATTTAGATACATTTCCAAAAATAAGTCACTGATTATAGCTCTAGTAATAATATCTTTCTGCCTTATATACGCAAATGTAATATATTTGCGATAATTTTAGAGTACGAATACTGCTCAGAGCAGCTCACGCATATCACTTAGTGATGATCATTATGATCAGTACACCATGTCCATAAATCCCTCTAGATCTTCTCTGATCCATAGAAATAGACCTTCACTTACAAAACAACCCTTCGCGATACACGACATTTCTCAGGTACTCATCATCATATACATCTTACTAAAAGCATTTATTTGTATAGGTTTAACGAGAATTTGTTGATAAGGGAATAATATATTTGGTATTCTGTTCTACCTCAATTAATGTGCATTTTGCTCTACGCATCTACGCACTTTTTATTTTGCTATCGCTGATTAATTGCATTATAATACGAGTATCTTTGATACTGTTGCTTTGATCATTTAATGATAATAGCTATGAACAGTGGAGAAAAAGTTTGCAGCAACTTTGCAGAACTGGGACGTGTGTAGTTTTCCGTATTATAATTTAACATGAACAAAGTTTGCAGAATTTATATAGGCGGTCGACATTGGCATCTGCAAATGATAAGCGACTAGAAAGTGTGCAGAGAGGTAGCGAAGATGGGTGTGGGTCACTTCCTAACCTTGCAGAACTGGAGAATACGGGCGTGCAACTAAGGAGGGAAGAGGCCGCGCGACTCGCCTCCCAGCAACGCCAAGAATTGCAGCGTCTTCTCGAAGAAGAACAGTTACTACGCAGCAACCCACTTCGTTATTTGTTCCATCCTGCTTTCAAGGTCACTTTCACGTACTAGTTCATCGTTATTGCGATCTGTGATCTTTTAATCTGTTCTCTCTCTAAAATCACGACCACATTAATTTTCGCATATCCTATCTGAAAGCCAGTCTTTTTCCTTTCAATCCAGAATTAATTCTTTGATTTTCAATTATCGTAGACAGGATATATGGTTGGTAATCATTAATGCATACAAATCATTGATTATATTGCTGCATTTAGGCTTGGATAGTTCGATGGAAATTGCCGCTTGTGTTATCGGTAGCGAATATTTTCCTCTTGATGGTTTTTTATAATCTTCTCACTTACGAAAAACGAACACGTGAACGTCGATAACATAGCAATGTGTGCGTAACTTTTCAACACAGCACTTTACCCATTTTGAGGGTACTAACACAACGGTGACTATGATATTATTTTAACTATTATTAATGTTTTTTACTAACATTATTACACAATTACTGACGTTATTATCATTATGAATATTATCTTATCATGAAATTGATGGTGTATTGAAAATATCTTTGCAGTGTGTGTAAATGTTTGCAAGAATTAGAAAATATACGCTTGTTGAAATGAACGAGATTTAGAAGACTATTAGTATCAGATTTGTGGTAGGTTTTATTTCTGAGAATAAATATTTTGAACCGGAGGTAACAGAAGTTCACTCTTAATTTTATGAATTAATAACTGAAATATGCTTAACGAGCTGAAAGCAGATCATGTTGGGGTAAGTTAACTTGAACCATGTTACTTATATTAAGGTAGGAAATTGACTGTTAAATGCAAATTTTGAATACAGAGATGTGATTTACAAAATGATTAGAAATAGTTGTTGATGGAACAGAATTATGCCAAGTAAATTTGAAATAAGCAAATCAATTTGGTCTTGATTAGGAGCATGCTAGTTTAAGCAATAGTCTTTAAGCAATGAAGGAACAATCAAATATATATATATATTTGATTGTTCCTTATATATATATATAATATATAAATTTGATTGTTATATATATATGGAAATTAAGTTTATATTGAAATTGATGCGAGAGTTCCTTGATACCCCCGTCTCAGTCGAGCATTTGTTCAAGCGTATATTTGAAGTTGTAATCAACAGATAAAGCCCAGAAGGAGATCAAATGCAAGTTAGAAGGTCAAGTCCAAGCAGGAGGTCAACTTATTATTGAGATATAAAATTTTCAGTCAATAAGTCCATAAAAGAAATAGAGGCAGTAACAACACAAATGTGTCTATTTTACCTTATCTACTTATATTGTTTTTTTTTCTTACGCTCTTCTATCTACAAAAAATTATTATTGTTTTGTGATATTACACGCATAACACTGCCAATTCTTTCGTTCTCAAAATTAAATCAAAACAGAAAATAAAGTCAAATTGCTCTCTGTAGAATTGATGGTGTAATCTTTCAGACCAAATAATAATACTGTTAATATAATTATAATAGCTTTGCTTCATAATAACGGATAATAAATCTTTGTTATTATGACGTAAAGTCTATGAGAATATCGTCATTATATATTAGTTTGTTTGAATTTTTGGTCGTTTGTGATAATTAATGCCTTATTGTTCATCGAATATTTATTACAATATTTACGGTTTTTGTTTGGTAACAAGTCATTCGCGCGCGTTGTTTTTCTTTATATTTTAATCGGTTAGCAATTGTCTAATTTAATACATGTTTGATATTCTGAGGCCTTATTTATATGTTACTTCTATTTTTGAACACTGCATTAATGACATTAAATGATTTGTTAGAATCAGCACAAAAAACAATACGACAAAGTACAGTATAATAAATGGAATGTAGTCCAGTCATCACCGTACTGCAGAACTTTGGTAGTGATTGCAAGTTAATTGAACCTCAGTACAAGCGTATCAATCCTGGACTTCCATCGCTTTTGCAGCTGAACAATACAGTAACCGAAGCAGTATCCGGAAAAATAAATATGTGGGAAGTATACTTGACATTAAAAAACGAAAACTGCTAGTCATTAGCACCCTACAAATCTTGGAAATACGCAAGTAGACCAGCGAGTATGCAGCGTTAGTCAAGAAGCGTAGGTAAAATTACTTGAATGCGATTAAAGCAAGGACATGAAAATGCGAAATTGATTCCATCAGAAAATTCTCGATAATTACCGTTAAAGATCGGGAGGTCGATTGGTGGACCCTATAAAGAAACGCTAATTTTCATAACTAGCTAGCGCAGAGTTTTGTCAAATCTAGTTAGGCCGTGGATAGTTTATGGAATGTCAGTTTAATTGCTGGGGTAGACCGGTAGGTAGGTGTAGGTGTTGATGTTTGGCAAAGATTTGCTGAGGGCTTGCATTTAGTTTTTTCGTAATTTCTGTAGCGCTTTCTCAAGTAGGACATTTGTTTTACAAATATTGCATTGTTTTTAATATAAGAAGTTATGCTTCACTTGTTGGTTGTTAGATTTGTGAGTTTCACTTCAAAGTTTTTGCAGCTTTCTTGATAAGAATTTGCTTCTTTAAATTATTCACTTACGGCTTTCTATTGTTTAGCGCTAGAAATTACTGGATTTGTTGAAGCTAAATCTAATTAAAACATTATGCATGAAATTTTTAAAAATACATGAAAAGGTTTGTTTGCAAGTGGGGAAAATGTAATTATAATGAAAATTTGCCATCGCTAATGTTATCTACGGACATTAACAACTCATTAAACGTGGTCACATTTTTATATGATACTCATGAGTAAGTAGTCCTTGAAAGGTATTTTGATGAGATATCGTTTTTCATTAAGAATTTGTTTGAGCAGTATGAGCTTCCTGTGCCGTAATCTGGTTAATTGAAGTTTTTATGTTGGAAACATTAACATTATCAATTAGTATTTGTATCCACCATGCATTTTTATTGCTGCATTGTGTTATCACATTTGTTAAAGCATTTCCATTCAAAAACAAGATTATATATTTGAAATACTAACTTAGCATGTTAGTGCAAGAGAGAACTAGTAGTACTTCACAAAAAAAAATCTAATACAAAATGAATAAGCCATTTTCGTTAACTAATATGTTTTGGTTCAAGTAACCATTTTGTTCAGATTTGGGCATATGAGTCCGAATTACATTTGGTTATCATCAGCAATAATTTGTATCGTGCTACTTGATTTATTCACTGACATATTTGAAATAAAAACTTCAATTTTCTTTTCAGGAAAATTAATTTCAAGTAGAATTATCTTTATTGGTGTAAATGTTTATATGAGAAAATGAGTAGTGTTACTGTTCAGTGCAGTATTGCCTCGCTAGCTGATTTAGTTTACCGTGATGATGCTGCTTCTTCTACAGACAGCAGTAATCAAAGATTCGTCGTAGTGCCCATCGCGGAGTCAGTTTTCAAGTTTTTCGTAAAAATCACACTTTAAGTTTCATGTGATAACACGCGACATGGAGTTCAAAATTTGAAGTTGTTCAAAAACGTAATTAATAGCGTTTAAATGATCCTAGAAAAAATTTTATAATAACATGGGAATTGAATTTTTGAAATTATAAATCTGACTGCTGAAAATCGGTCTTCACTGATTGAAATAACATGTATTATTTTTGCAGGTTACCACTCAGTTACAGTGCCTTGAATTCGCCAGAAATACTGTATCTTGACTCTACAAATCAGATACTTTTGCGGTGTGTAAATGGCGTGACAATGATTTTTGATGCAACTTTCGAAAATTCATTACCTCTCGCTACGTATCGTCTCAATCCTAATGCTAGGGTACGCTAGCTTATATTATTTGCTAAAATACTGGAATAAAAATTTTATTGTGAATTTGAAAAATTGGTCAGTAGTCGGTCAAATTAATAGATTTTTGTTAGTTTCTAAATTATGATTCATAAGAGCCGTGGTTTTTGCACTAAGAAGTATATTTACAAATCCTTGATTCTTCGGATAACAGCTTTCTCAGTAATTAAGTTCATATTATTTGCTAAAGTACTGGAATAAAAATTTTTTTTCAGATGATTTATTATAAGCATAGTGGTACGTTGGCAATCGCAGATTCCAAAATGCTTTGCTTTCGTCGCGACTACTGTGGTACTTTCCTTCTTAAAACAGCACTGAAAAGACCATCAGCTAAAACTGTTTCTGTTGAACTGCCATTAGATGAGGTAAAGTCAATTGATTTATAAATTTAAATGCCCTGTTTGAAAAATACAAGTTTCTGATTACCAACAGTTTATTGATCTTTTTTTTAAGGCAACAAAATTCCTGCAAGTAGTCTCAAATGATTCTGATTCGGAAGAAATTTTGAAACAGCGAGCAGCTTTGCGTATGTTCATATCACATTTGCGCACTGCGACAGCCGATTTGTCTCTGAACAGCGTAAGTTTGAATTTATCGCAGGTTTCCCAAAATGAATTTATTGTTTTTTTTTTAAACTGTTGAAAATGTTGCGACCGTTTGCTCACTTTATAATATTGTATTAGATAATAATCTGTCAAGAATTTTTGTTTTAGTATAATCAGTAAGTTCCAAAAGATAATCTATGTTTGACATAATTTATTTAGTTTTGAGGCAATCGTCATTTGGAGGGCATTTTTTCTCTCTTGAGCACTTATGGAATGAAATTTATTATAGTTAGAATCAGTAGTGGTTGAAGTGAATGGCAAAGAAATGCTTGAACAGTTGCGATCTTCGGGAACTTTTGTGGGAAACAGTGGTGTGGAAATACCACGGGAGTGGATGACATTTCTTTGGCCCTTTATATCAATGCTTGCTGAACGTGTGAGAGTAGGCATTTATTTTATTTGTTTATGTTTATCAATTCAAATTTGAACTTTTGTTGAGGTCTATCAATTTTGCAGCTGATGATGTATCCTGATCGTCCTTATAACTTTGACTATACGCAAGAGTGGAAGGGTCTCAACAAAGAAATTATGGCAAGTGAAGCAGCTCGACGGTTTACGTTTCATCGCTGGCCTCACATGGATTATAAGTTGGTTGAATTGCTTTTTAAACAGACTTATTATGGGATGGAGCAGTTCTTTCAAGTATTAATTTCAGGCAGGCTTTACCTTCTCAGATGGCTGAAGCAGGATTTTATCATCAGCCTAATACCACATGCGATGATCGCGTTCTGTGCTTTTCTTGTTTTGTTTGTCTTGTATGCTGGGAACCGTCAGATGAACCTTGGTAATGTTCAAAAATAGTCTATGACTTCACTATAATTTGACAGATTTTGAAATTTCTAATCAAAAATTTATAGGAATGAACTTCAAAAAAAAATTGAGTTCTTCTTTTTTGCAGTCTCTCCAACTGTATGCGAATAGAATCTGAGAAGTACAAAATGAAAAATAAAATCAAAAAACAGCTAAAAAATAGAATTTATGTTTTATAAATAGAATCATTTCTTTTTATAGTAATCATAATGACAAATCGCCATTGATTTTTTAATTTTTAATCGACAATATATTCTTGAAAATTCCTAATTTGCGTGTGTAAAGTACAGAACTACATTATGCTAGGCATCAAATGTATATGGGAATGTGATAATAAAAGAGAAATATATTTTGCTGCTCTTTTAATTTCAGTATAAATTACATGGATTCCTAGTTGAGGATAAGCACGGATTTAGTGCATGAAATATATGTGCCAAATTGATTCAAAGTATTCAGAAAGGGATGCTGTATTCAAGCATATCTCCCTATATTGGATTCTAGTTTTCATTAATTCAAAGTTTAGGTCAGAGCATGAGCGCCATTCTCCGAATTGCCGCTTCGTTCGTAATTATACGAATCCAAATGTTCCACTGGCCCTCACAATGTCAGCTCTTTCACCATTTGTGCATCATTTACAAGTGAGTCATACTTCTTCACTGGTGTTTTCCGCAGGAAACGGTGAGTGGGTCGCTGTTGCAAGCAGAGAATCTCCTGACATACATCTGTGGCAGATGGGTAATGTTATACAGGTATTTCATTTTTTTTTTTAAATTTTAGCACGATGCTTTAACTATTTTAAAGATCAAAACTACTTTTAATGATTTCATGAGGTGCTTCCCTAATGAATTTTAAATTTTTGATATAGGTAAAACAGTGGTTCACTCTAAATTCAGAGAAATTTTTCTCTGCTGTTTTGGATTGCACATCAGAAGGAATTGACCACACTCTTCGGAAGCCACAAAGAGTTACATGGAGTGATGATCTCACGTAATTTTTTCCGTCATATATTATTTAAATTGTCAATAATGCCATTCTACTAAGTTGACTGTCTACCTGAGTTTTTTTCAGAAAGTCTGAAATGAGTTTTGATGGAGAAAACACACATGTGGATAGTCCTATAAAAGGTACCTAATATTTCTTTTTTTTGCCAAAGAAGTTTAAAAAAATCTTTTTGTATATATCAAAATATTACAGGGTTTTCGTACGATGAATGCTCATTAAAGCCAGCATTAGCTGCTTTGCTCATCGATGATAATTGTGAAGTAATTTTGTTTAATTCATATTAACGTTTTCTTTTTCTGTTTTTTCAAAATTTTTGGTTCTGATTTTTGTTTTAATGTCGTTCATTGTGAAAGACAAAGATTCAAATACAGCTTGTAGGTTTGAAAATTAAATTAGCATAATAATAGTCAAATATTCTTTCATTTTATTTTATCGAATTCCAGACAGTCATAACAGCACTTTGTACAGTTGGAAGACCTTGTTTAATTGAGCACTCTTGCATAGGTGCTATGACGAAAAAGTTATCAGAACAAAGTCAAACCTTAGTCGTTGTTGCAGTTTCAGTAAATGACTCAAAATTGAACAGAGGTTTGTTAAGAGTATTGATTTGATAAATTTGTAGGTTTTTTCAACATACCATTAGTTTACATCTAGTCTGAAATACAGTTATCTCTTATTAGGTCGTTTGTATTTCAGACTTTGGATATATCAATTACCTATATTCAAAACACCACTTATATTATGTGTGAAATCAAAATTGAAGTATTTTTTCAATTAAGACTGAAATAGTAATCGTTGAATCAGAATAATTAGTCGTAAAAAAAAAGCATCATTTTAATTCTAGTGCGTCAACAAAATCAGAGCAGCATAGAAGATGAGATAACCACTTTGAATACAATGAATCGAGCACGGGATTTCATTGATGCACCACCCTGGATTGTTAATAAATCGCGATTGGTCGATGACGGCATGAGTTCTGGTGTTCCTCTTCGTCCTTTCTTGGCTCTTTATCAACTTGATTGTGCTGAATTTTCTAGTTGTCGTGCACGATCATCATCTGTGCACTTAGGTTATTTTCAGCTCTTCGAAATCTAATGTGTAGCTAATTCAATGGTAACATTAAAACTTTAAAGATTATACCTGAATAATAACCCCGATGCACTCTAGTTCTTTACTTGGAATAAGAAACTTGTCAAGTATTTTTTTTCAATGATGCGATAGCTATTTTCATTACCAGGCTTATATTTGATATTAAGCTGAGCTAGCTGCATCTGATCAATGTTGGACAATTGCTGAAAAAGACAAGCTTATCTAATCAACAAAAATTTTGGCATTATCTTTTTGTTTCATTCTTTATTTTAAATTTTTGGCAAAAAAGAGTTTTTTTAAGAGAATTCAAAATCATTGGGTAGTAAAGTAGCACATTCTGATGCAGACGATGCTGAATTCGTAGCACAGATATTGATGAATACCGGTGATCCTGATGTATTGGAATGGAGTGGTTCTACGTATGCAGAACAATCTGGTTTTGTCGACATTCCTAATGGTTTGTTGCACTTTAGCATATTAAACAATACTGATGTTTTTTTAGTTCTCTCAAGTTTTCCTTTATAATGCGTTTACTGCAGCATCATGATGCAATATAAATGAGACTTTACGTATTGATTTGCTAAATGGTACTCATAGACATCTTAATGGGTGCAGTTGTAGAAGATAGTGAGATGCGAGGTGGTCCATCAAAAACTGATGCAAAGTATGATGAAAAAGCAAAATATGTGCCCATAACTTATGAAGCACCATCATTGGACATATCATTCGTGCAGTGCTTCAATTTGCCGACAGCAATTAATAATACTTCAATGGAAGTAATCTTTCAAATTTTGTGTTCTTTTCTATTCTTACTTTTAATTTAAATTACTGTTTTGTCTCAAATTTAGCATTTAATTTAGATGTTTTATATATTATGATTTTTTTTCGTTTCATTAAAGACCGAAGCGAGCACATTGTAAAAGTTGTTTAGCCATTCTTTCGAAGGGAAAAAAAGACAAATCTGTGTTTTAAAATTAGTAATTGTTTTTAGATATCAACAGTACTTCCTATGCGAAGTATGTTTTTAGTAGTTGTAGTCAACAGCAAAGAGGATACAACGTCCGCCATTCAGTCAGCAATACTATTATATCTTATAAATTTTGGAAAAATTACAATCACCGTACAGGTCATACTTCAATTCTTGCTATTGATTATTCTAAATGTACTGTGAGCTCTAGGAAGTAGTAATGAGAATTGTGTCTAGTTATTTATCATATTTGTGTTAAATTTTTTTATTCACTTAAATTACATATCCTAAATTACCTTCGTTAATTTTGTATAACTATGAAGTTAAGATCAAATGATTCCTCTGTGATAAAACATATTGAATTCTAAAGTACTTCGCATTTTATTCGAAATGAATAATTCTTTAGAAAGAACCGATAAAAGCTTACTATTATAACGATTTCCGAATTGCGCAGTTCTCTCTGGCAAATATGGATTTTATTCATACATCTCATGGGTCATTAAATTCTGTTACTGGTGATTACTTTGATGGCGCTGTTATTGTAAGTCATTTGTGTAACATTACGTTCGTTTTATACTAACCCTTGACAGATGAGGCGGTAAATTGATTCCCGAAATATTTTTGGCATAATAAATAAAAGTATTTTTGTTGTACACAAGCATTTATCACTCTGAAAATTTCATTTTTGGTTGCTAAACAGTTATCAGGAATTTTTAGCGCACCGCGAATGATATGGTTTATTTTATTGACTTGAACACCAATAGACTGCATTTGTTATGCGATGAAAAGGTATCGCAGTTTACAGTAATGGAAAGTGGAAAAGTTACATTGTTGACCAAAAATTCAGGAAAAGTAGGTTTTCAGTAGTATTTGGTTGTAAGAAAATATCGAAAGTGTCATTTTACTTTGCATTCTTTCTGATGGCTCCGTTTAAACTCCTTAAAAAAAATTGATTTCCATTTTAGTTTCCTCCTTTTGTTTTCAGTTCATAACCGTCCAAGTTGAACAATTAAGTACACACCATATAAACTATGATGATGAAGATCTTACTGTTTCATCATTGTTCAACAGGATGACCGATTCTCAGAAATCAGAAGCACCAAAAGGTATTATTATATTCTGTATAGTTTTGTTTATAGATATGTAATTTCGTAAAATTCATTATAGTTTCTTGTAAGAAGCAAGTTACTAAATGTAATTTGATATATTTCAAATATCAGTAATTTGCTTTATGATATTCAAATCGTGAGTGAAAGCGCTATCGGGAGGAAAAAGTGAAATATAGGAGAGGAAAATTAGGTTTTGAAGAAAAACATTTTTTGTCATTTATTATTGAATTATCAACTATAGGTTTCGATCGAGAAGAGCAGAAAGTCAAAAATGCATTCTCCGGCGATAACACAAATATACTATCATCCGATTATCTGTCATTATCAGGTTTGCGGAAGATATGGAAATTAACGAGAAGCGATATTGGGGGACCAATAAGAAACACTGCGTATCGATCTCCACACCATCTGTATGTTCCCATAATACACTGCAAGACTTCTTTATTCTGAAAGCTGTTGCGTATTCTTGTCCAAATCAAGCAATAGAAGTCTCAGTTCTCTTTGTAGTGAGTTTCGACATGAAAAGAGACAAGACAAATCGTTCACTTTACCATATTTATTTGCAAACAACTTCTGTGAATTTCAAATGTTAAATTGCTTTTTGTTGAAGGACAAGAAAGGGACTAATGTTTTACTTGTGAATTTCATTATTGCTAAATCGACAAAATTGCATTACTGATGCACGGGAATGCATTGATTGTCAGTGTAGTTTTATTTGATTTCTAGTGGTGGACAACTTGGATATCATCTTATTCCACCTCCCGGATGGAATGAAATACCGGTAACTCAGCGTATCAGAAAATGTTTTATTGAAAGTCCACTAGTGGAAGGGATGATTAGAACTTGGTTTCATCAGTCAGATGTTCATCGCTCAAGCAATATACATATTTTTGAGCTGGTGCACCTTCAGGTTCTTATTAGCTTTGCATTTACTAAATAAATTGGAGCGGTGTGTTGCTTTCTTTCATTGTCATATATGTACAATGCATGAAAAATTTTCAGTCTTGTGCTTGGTCATAATTTTATGTGGTCATTTTTAGTCCTATTTGTTGATTATTTCTTCTGCATAGTTGTTGAAAGTTTGGAAATAATGTGATTTTTCAGCATGGATTGCGACTTTCACATGTTGATGTTTCCCTCGCGTTCCATGATTCATGTGTCGCTTGCCCGGATATAGAATTAAGGTTATACCGTCAAAAATTAAATTGTGATATTTTATCTTCGTCTTCAAGACCACACAAGAAAACTTCGTTCTCTGGAAATATCGATTTGGACGAAATAGAGACAAAAGTAAGCTCAGCATTTTTATGCAGTTTAAAGTCGCAGATAGCTAAGAATATTAAAAAGAAAAGAATATGAAATGCTCTCTATCCAACATTTTTTGGGGGTTTTTTGATGGATTAGAAAATTCGTAGCCTTTCATCATTAAATGTATTAATCATATATTTCATTTTTAGCCTGTGATTAATGTATTCAACTTGACAATATTTAAAGGTTCAGCCATTGATTTGTTGATAAATCACGTTTTCAGTGCGATTTATTGGCAGGCCCTTTTCATTGTGCCGAGAATATTGATTTCAATTGTCGATCCGCCAAGATACAATTACCAGGAGTTGTTTTCTTACCTCAGCCAGTCCAAAAAGGTTCGTAAGGCAGGTCGCAGCGCTTTTAGATTGTAATTTTCAGTCGCAAATGAAGTCTTAATTATTTTCTATGCTTCTGTATCAAATTTTCTAGGTGGTGTTGTGATTGGATTCAAATCAATTTCATATTATTTTGTTTTGAGAGCCCTCTCAGATTTTTCCGTTGATCAGGCAATTACTATGGTTAAGATATGCGAACGCAACAAATTTAAAACGTCGAAGTATCGTTTTATAATTTGTCTCAGCATTTCATAAATTTGTTCTCTTTTTAATTTGCTGGTCAAAAGTGCTGTATCAAGATTCCAACAAAAAAAATGTGTTCGGTTAGCTATGACTTGTTTTTGACGGCAACTAAAATGTCAAGTTATAAAATTTATCATCATAAGCATGTCGATGTTTTTTTCAGCTCAGGCGCTTCAGATAAAATAAAGGCAGCTTCAAAACGTCGTATTGATGATGATGAACACACAGAATCAGTATTAAATGAGAACAGCACTACACATGGTAGCTGTAAAGAGATAGTATTTCTCCTCACTGAATGTTGAAATATTGATCTATATAAATTTTCAATCAGTCATTACGCTTTATTCCATAATTAGTCATAACTTTTGAAATTTGAAAACAAGCTAAAAATACTGTTGGTATTTCTGGTATTTTTTGAACCTGAATAAGGAATTTGATGGAAGCGTAGTAATTGTTATGCTTAAGGATTAACAAGTCGACGAGGAATCCAGTGGATAGATGAACTGATAGTGACTGTAGTAAAAGCAAAAAAAATAAGTGAGCCAAATGAAAGGTATTTTCAAGTTCATTGAATCACATTTTGCTCTAATCTAATTTAATTTGATTTAATTTTTACCTTCTGAGCTGAATTTTTGATTTCACTATCAAATTTTTTGATTCTTTTCGTTCTATTCTTGTAAAGAGTTAAAGTTATACATTAAATTTTGAGACATTATTTGTAAAAATTCATGCTTCAAAAACATATTCATTTATTCAGTTAAACATTATTTGTTCATTGAATTTTTGTCTTCTAATTGTATCATTGTTTTCGAAAATACCACTTATACCGTTCTTCAAGATTAAATGATTTTGTAGGATTGAAAGACATAAACTTATTGAAATGACTGACCTTCATAATAGCATAGTGATGTTAGCTGCTGGAATTGCACCCAAAACGTCTCATACTCAGAAAACTCGTACAGAAAGTGAGAAGTTGCAACAGCAAAATCTTGCAATTGGCATAATTGAATGGTTGATCGATAACTGGGTTAATACCTCTTCACAGTAAGGAGATTCATTTACAAATTTAATCCTTTTTCGAATGAAATTAATAACAACACTAAAATCATAAAATTTTTCAAAAGTAGGTTTGATTGAATATATTTTGACTGAGCTTAAAAATATATTTATAATGTTTTATTTAAGTGACAGTAATATTAACTGTCAATGTTTACGAAAGATTTCAGGTGATGAGTTGTACATTACTCTTGCATATAAAGATTAATGTCTCGTGATAGCTCTTTTCCGAAATTTCTCCAAATTTATATATATATA